TAAAACTTTAAAACAATGGGAAAAAAGGTAATGGAGACCCGTTTTCTACATACAAACAAATCAACTTACAAACAGCCTCTTGGTCCCCATTATATTCTTAAGTTGGGGAATTACTGTATATATATATATATATATATATATATATATATATATATATATATATATATATATATATATGTTTATATATGTTTATATATGTGTGTGTGTGTGTGTGTGTGTGTGTGTGTGTGTGTGTGTGTGTGTGTGTGTGTGTGTGTGTGTGTGTGTGTGTGTGTGTGTGTGTGTATAAAATATATTCAAATACGCACACACACACACATTGACCTATACAGGAGTGGTTAGAGACAATAATGCCATGGTCAGCATCGACTAATGGTTTCCTTCATCCCCACACACACCCAATAGATAAATATATACATGAATAAATAAATAGATATGTATATATGAAATATGTATATGTATATGTATATATATAAATATATATAAATATATATATATATATATATATATATATATATATATATATATATATATATATATATATATATATATATATATATATATATATATATGCATATATGCATATATATATATATGCATATATATATGCATATATGCATATATATATATATGCATATATATATATATGCATATATATATATATGCATATATATATATATGCATATATATATATATATATATATATATATATATATATATATATATATATATATATATATATATATATATATATATATATCTATATATATATATCTATATATATATAAATATAAATATATATAAATATATATAAATATAAATATATATATCTTTAAAATGATAGGTTGATATTGATACTGATAATGGCAATATTAATGATAGTGATAATGTCAGTATCCATGTCTGTTGTAGCACTGGCAGTGTAGGACCGGTAAGCTGCCAATGTGAAATATCATCGACTCTTAATACCAACATCAACCAGGCCTGATAATTTGTCATATTGTGTAAATGATAATATATAAAGTGAATTACGCTGCCTATCATTCCGAAGTCTTATATGCTGTCACCGTTCAGAATCATTATTGCCTTTAGTATAACATTTATATAGTATATATATACAGTAAGTCCCCAACTTAAGAACATAATGGGGACCGAGAGGCTGTTTGTAAGTTGATTTGTTTGTATGTTGAAAGTCGGGTCTCCATTACCTTTTTTCCCATTGTTTTAAAGTTTTGTTTACATTAAGAATACCTGTAAATTGTAAATAAGTCCCAGTAAGTATGACATACCTCATACAGTACCAGACTCTTGAACTATATTTGTGCCCTGGAAATTTGAAGTTTGCTAGTATCTTTCAAACAATTTTTTTTTGACTTTAGTACTTTAAAAAATTTGTTTGTATGTATGGAATGTTCATAAGTAGAATGTTCTTAAATAGGAGACTATCTGTATATATTATTAAGTATTTCACACTTAACGTGAGTGAATGGGTTCACCTGTTTCAAAACAATCGAACCTCGACAGACACAGCTACACAGGTATGCCAACCTAACATTTGACGTCACTCGTTAATTACTCAGAATATTTCGCCATGTTTAACAAATCATTGGACACATCTGGGAAGATAGTTGTGCTTCTCGTTGTACATGTGTGCATCTGTGCATGTGGGTGTACATTTAGGTGTTGTGTTGTGTTCTGTGGTGTGGTGTTTTGTGTGTGTTTTGTGTGTGTTTAGTGTTTTGTGTGTGTTTGGTGTTTTGTGTGTGTGAGTGGTGTTTTGTGTGTGTGAGTGGTGTTTTGTGTGTGTGAGTGGTGTTTTGTGTGTGTGAGTGGTGTTTTGTGTGTGTGAGTGGTGTTTTGTGTGTGTGAGTGGTGTTTTGTGTGTGTGAGTGGTGTTTTGTGTGTGCGAGTGGTGTTTTGTGTGTGTGAGTGGTGTTTTGTGTGTGCGAGTGGTGTTTTGTGTGTGTTTTTTATTTTTTATTTTTTTTTTATTTGTGTGTGTGTTTGTGTGTGTGTGTGTGTGTGTGTGTGTGTGTGTGTGTGTGTGTGTGTGTGTGTGTGTGTGTGTGTGTGTGTGTGTGTGTGTGTGTGTGTGTGAGAGAGAGAGAGAGAGAGAGAGAGAGAGAGAGAGAGAGAGAGAGAGAGAGAGAAATAGATATATATATATATAGATATATATATATATATGCATATATGCATATATATATATATAAATATAAATATATATATATATTGTATATATATACAGTAAGTCCCCAACTTAAGAACATAATGGGGACCGAGAGGCTGTTTGTAAGTTGATTTGTTTGTATGTTGAAAGTCGAGTCTCCATTACCTTTTTTCCCGTTTTTTAAAAGTTTTGTTTACATTAAGAATACCTGTAAATAAATCCCAATAAGTATGACATACCTCATACAGAACCAGACTCTTGAACTATATTTGTGCCCGGGAAATTTGAAGTTTGCTAGCATCTTTCAAACAATTTTTTTTGACTTTAGTCCTTTAAAAAATTTGTGTGTGTGAGTGGTGTTTTGTGTGTTTATTATTACAATTTCCTATCTAAGATATATGATATGTAGTTCTTATGTATGCTTGTGTGGTTATGAAATAATTTCGTCAATACAGGTGCTCTGGTAGTAAGCAGTGGAGGCTGTGACCTGATCACACGGTGTGGCATCACTGATCTCTCTGTACTTCATGTTGATAGCGAGATTGAGATATTTAAAGAAGTTGTCAAGTTGGTTACCACCTGGGATCCAGATATGTTAGTTGGATATGAGGTAATTATTGTTACGGTTTTATTTTCATTATGTTCACTTGTTATTTTTTTAATGTTTGCAGTGTGACTTTTTGATTGTACTGTTGAATGGCTGAAGGAGATCCAATTTTTTTTATCTTAGTCTATATTCCTGTGTATTTTTGTCGTAGAGTGATATTGTCCTGGTAAAACAAAGCTTCCCCTAAACAGGTACAGATGTCATCTTGGGGTTACTTGCTTGAGAGAGGAACAGCACTGAAGCTGGAGATCATCTCACAGCTCTCTCGCGTTCCCGAAGGTAGCTCCAGTCACTTTGCCGAAGACATGGACGAGTATGGTGCTGACCACACCTCACAGATCCATGTTACTGGCAGGATTGTCCTCAATGTTTGGAGATTAATGAGGGCAGAGGTGAGTTATGAAACAAATAATTTTTTAAGGACATGATTAATTATTTTTTTCTTTAAATGTAAAATTATTATTATTATTTTTTTGTGTGTTTATTATTACAATTTCCTATCTAAGATATATGATATGTAGTTCTTATGTATGCTTGTGTGGTTATGAAATAATTTCGTCAATACAGGTGCTCTGGTAGTAAGCAGTGGAGGCTGTGACCTGATCACACGGTGTGGCATCACTGATCTCTCTGTACTTCATGTTGATAGCGAGATTGAGATATTTAAGAAGGTTGTCAAGTTGGTTACCACCTGGGACCCAGATATGTTAGTTGGATATGAGGTAATTATTGTTACGGTTTTATTTTCATTATGTTCACGTGTTATTTTTTTTAATGTTTGCAGTGTGACTTTTTGATTGTACTGTTGAATGGCTGAAGGAGATCCAATTTTTTTATCTTAGTCTATATTCCTGTGTATTTTTGTCGTAGAGTGATATTGTCCTGTAAAACAAAGCTTCCCCTAAACAGGTACAGATGTCATCTTGGGGTTACTTGCTTGAGAGAGGAACAGCACTGAAGCTGGAGATCATCTCGCAGCTCTCTCGCGTTCCCGAAGGTAGCTCCAGTCACTTTGCCGAAGACATGGACGAGTATGGTGCTGACCACACCTCACAGATCCATGTTACTGGCAGGATTGTCCTCAATGTTTGGAGATTAATGAGGGCAGAGGTGAGTTATGAAACAAATAATTTTTTAAGGACATGATTAAATTATTTTTTTTCTTTAAATGTAAAATTATTATTATTATTTTTTCGTGTGTTTATTATTACAATTTCCTATCTAAGATATATGATATGTAGTTCTTACGTATGCTTGTGTGGTTATGAAATAATTTCATCAATACAGGTGCTCTGGTAGTAAGCAGTGGAGGCTGTGACCTGATCACACGGTGTGGCATCACTGATCTCTCTGTACTTCATGTTGATAGCGAGATTGAGATATTTAAAGAAGTTGTCAAGTTGGTTACCACCTGGGATCCAGATATGTTAGTTGGATATGAGGTAATTATTGTTACGGTTTTATTTTCATTATGTTCACTTGTTATTTTTTTAATGTTTGCAGTGTGACTTTTTGATTGTACTGTTGAATGGCTGAAGGAGATCCAATTTTTTTTATCTTAGTCTATATTCCTGTGTATTTTTGTCGTAGAGTGATATTGTCCTGGTAAAACAAAGCTTCCCCTAAACAGGTACAGATGTCATCTTGGGGTTACTTGCTTGAGAGAGGAACAGCACTGAAGCTGGAGATCATCTCACAGCTCTCTCGCGTTCCTGAAGGTAGCTCCAGTCACTTTGCCGAAGACATGGACGAGTATGGTGCTGACCACACCTCACAGATCCATGTTACTGGCAGGATTGTCCTCAATGTTTGGAGATTAATGAGGGCAGAGGTGAGTTATGAAACAAATAATTTTTTAAGGACATGATTAATTATTTTTTTCTTTAAATGTAAAATTATTATTATTATTTTTTTGTGTGTTTATTATTACAATTTCCTATCTAAGATATATGATATGTAGTTCTTATGTATGCTTGTGTGGTTATGAAATAATTTCGTCAATACAGGTGCTCTGGTAGTAAGCAGTGGAGGCTGTGACCTGATCACACGGTGTGGCATCACTGATCTCTCTGTACTTCATGTTGATAGCGAGATTGAGATATTTAAAGAAGTTGTCAAGTTGGTTACCACCTGGGACCCAGATATGTTAGTTGGATATGAGGTAATTATTGTTACGGTTTTATTTTCATTATGTTCACTTGTTATTTTTTTAATGTTTGCAGTGTGACTTTTTGATTGTACTGTTGAATGGCTGAAGGAGATCCAATTTTTTTTATCTTAGTCTATATTCCTGTGTATTTTTGTCGTAGAGTGATATTGTCCTGGTAAAACAAAGCTTCCCCTAAACAGGTACAGATGTCATCTTGGGGTTACTTGCTTGAGAGAGGAACAGCACTGAAGCTGGAGATCATCTCGCAGCTCTCTCGCGTTCCCGAAGGTAGCTCCAGTCACTTTGCCGAAGACATGGACGAGTATGGTGCTGACCACACCTCACAGATCCATGTTACTGGCAGGATTGTCCTCAATGTTTGGAGATTAATGAGGGCAGAGGTGAGTTATGAAACAAATAATTTTTTAAGGACATGATTAATTATTTTTTTCTTTAAATGTAAAATTATTATTATTATTTTTTTGTGTGGCTTTAGATTTTAAAAAGTATAGATATTAAAAAAAAAAAAAAAAAAAAAAAATTGTATTCAAAACTTTATTCATTTTTTTTTTTTTTTGGGGGGGGGGGGAATTCTTTTTATGTCCACATTTTTGTGCAGCTTGATATACTAATAATATTTTATGTTTCCTGTGCTTCTATTGTATTTGTCATTCATCTTCTGCATATGTATTTAAAGCTTCTCAACTTTTCTTTTTATCTCTAAATATTCTTTCCCAGGTGGCCCTTCAGAGCTACACTTTAGAGAATGTGGCATACCATGTTCTTCACACCAGAATTCCGCATTTTCCTCACGACTCTCTGAGGAGGTGGTGGTCGGAGGATGCAACAAGGTGAGGTAGTCTGTAGCTGCCATAATATTCTTCTTTGAGATTTGCTGGTAGTAATGTGGTGTTCATTTTTTATGATTAATGTTAGATGGTTAGCTTTTTTTCTATGCAAGTATTTGTGGGCTTTTTTTTATGGTGTAGAAAAATGTAGGAAAGTAAGAAATCAAAGGATTAATTTCTTAAAGACCAGAAATACTGTTTGAACTATAGGTAGTATGAGTCTTTGTTCCACACTAATTATTCAAGGCTTCTGACTATGTAGCTATGATATATTTGTTGACCATCTCCTGAAAAGTAAGGAGTGTAATCTGTATGTGTAGGATAGTGCAGACAGATTACACAAATATATATGTACTTAGCTCATGCTTCCCTCACAAACCTGTCCACTCCCTCTTAGATGCACGAGGAGTCCTCACACCTAGTATATAGATAAATAGTTTAATATTACAAATATAGTTATGTAGATTGATAAATATGCATATATTTATGCATATCTGTAAGCAGACACTCAACTTTTTTGTTCTTATTTATTTTATTTTGTTATTTTTGTAGATGGCGCACCCTGGAGCACTATCTAAATCGCTGTAGTCTCACAATAGAACTGCTACACCGGTTAGATCTTATTCATCGTACAGCAGAACTGGCAAGGGTGTTTGGAATTCAGTTCTATGATGTATTGGCTCGTGGATCACAGGTTAGTTCCATTTTTTCATGTTTTTGTCACAATTATGAAAAAATTTGTATGTGTATAAATATCTATGTGTAAAGTATGTAAATGTATATTCATATGCATGTAAATGATATATTACATAATCTGTTGGATAAGATTTAAAGTTTGGGTAATTCACGTCATTATTCTGATCAAACTTTCAATAACTGTAATGCTCCCATAGCTAATGCTGTTCTTATTACAGTATCGTGTGGAATCAATGATGCTGCGTCTAACGAGAGGTGCCAACATGGTGGCAGTCTCTCCCAGCATCCAGCAGAGGGCTGCCATGAAAGCCCCTGAGTGGATTGCTCTCACCATGGAACCAGAATCAAGGTAGGAGAATGATGACAGGCTGAGTGATAAATACTGTTGTGTGATAGAGGCCAAAGGGAATGAGTCAGGTTATAAGAATTTGTCCATGTTTTGTTGTTTTTCTTTTGTTTCTTTTGCTGTTGTCTCTTCTGCTGAATCCCCATCCCCATAAATTTGAATTTTGAACTGTTATTGATTAAACAAGAATTCCCAAAGACTGCATTGGATCATTTCTTCCACCAGTACCATTTATATACAGATAAATGACTAATATGTTACTGAGATTTACACTACAAATACATCTTTTTGCAGATTCTACACAGATCCAGTTGTGGTGCTAGACTTCCAGAGTCTCTATCCTTCCATGATGATTGCATACAACTACTGCTACTCAACATGCATTGGACGGATCAACAACCTAGATGGTCCACAGCCTATTGAATTTGGAACATCCCACCTCAGGGTCAGTCCACAGGAGCTCTCCAAGTTTGTGGATAAGGTAATAACATTTTTTTTTTCACTTGTTGTGTTTTCTTAATTGAAAATTAGGTAATTTAAAAAATAGATTATGTATTACAAAAGTAATCTAACATGCTACAGGTAAAAACTTTTAAAGCTTGTTTAAGAGATATACTTTTTACTTGTTTTCTCTTTAGCTTTTTTTTTTTTTTACTTAAGAGATAATATATGATCTACATAAAT